GTACTACTCCAGAGTAGGTCCTGAGTTCAGTTCCCAGCACCCATATGGGGCAGCTCATAAATGCTTCCAGATCCAGGGGATGTAGCACCTCTGATTTCCAGTGGCACATGCATGTGCAGCTACAGACACAGATATATGCATGTCCACATCATTACAAAATACTAATATATGCTTGCTGCAAAAAGATCAAGCACCTACCAGATCAGGTTTCCAAAAAAAAATCAATTTTAAAAAATATTTTATTATTTCTATTTTATGTACATATGAGTGTACTGCCTGCATGTGTGGTGCTTGTGAAGGTCAGAAGAGGATGTTGGCTCCCCTGGAACTGGAGATTCAGACAGTTGTTATCCACCATGTGGGTGCTGGGAATCAAACTCCAGCCCTCTGCAAAAACAGCCAGTGCTCTTAACCACTAAGCCATCTCTCCAGCCCCAGGTGGGGGAAACACCAATTTTTTTTTAAATGTTAGCATGGGGAATATTTTTCACAAATTTTATGCATTACTGATGTCTGTTAAACGAAATGAGAATATACTATAGTCTCTGCCCTCCCGACACAATGTAGCAAGAAATTTATGGGTTAATGACCAGCAAAAAGTTTCCAATGAAGGCAGCAGTAGTTCATCCACAGACCATTAGCAGAACACAGAAAAATCCAATGTTCTGCCTGCCTGAGGATATCCAAGAGTAGCCACAATACCACTGAATGCAGCTGCCTACAACAAACTATCCAGATGGCATTAAAATGAACAGTGCTGGTGTCCTAGTTTGTTCTTCATTGCTGTGACAAAACACTCTGACCACTACCAACTTGGGGAGGAAAAGGTTTATCTTACATCTCCCAGGTCACAGTTCATCAGGGAGCCCAAGGTAGGAACTGAGGGCAGGAACCTGGAGGCAGGAGCTGGGGCACAGGCCATGGAGGAACGCTGCTTATTGGCTTGCTTCCCTGGCCCCTGCTCAGCCTGCTTTCTTATGCAACACAGGCCCACCTGCCCAGGGGTGGCACCACCCACAGTGGGCTGGGCCCTCCTACATCACTCATCAAGCTGTCCCTCAGACAGCAAGGAAATTCCCCAGTTGAGGCTCCCTCAACCCAGGTGTGTCAAGTTGACACTAAACCTATCCAGCACAGCTGGTAAACTCTTAAGACTTAAAGACTGTAACTAAAGACTTAGCTTTTGTATTTCAAACTGGCAAATAACAGAACGGTTGGCAATTTGTAATACGAACATAGGGAGCATAAGACAGAGCTGATATAAATAGTAGTGCTAAAGCCTATGAAATTCCTTATTATCTACAGGTCTGATCTTTGCTTCCATCTCCTAACAAACAGAGATGGGTTAGCAGGCAAATAAATCTGCCACCAAGCGTGAAGAGCTGAATTTGATCTCCAGAACCCGCATGGTAAGAAAGAACTGACTCCCACAGGTTGTCCTCTGACTTCCACATGTGCTGTGACACATGTGCATACATGCATTCTTATGCATGCACACACAAAATAAATACATGAACATTAAGAAGAGGCACAGACTTATGAGAAATTAGATTTCTGGCAAAATTCATTTGGACAAAAACTAAAGATCTGAATATTCTTTTAAGCAGCTGTCACTGGCCTATAAGAAATCAGTCTTCATGCCAGGCATGGTGGCAAAGCCTTTAATCTCAGCACTTGAGAGGCAGAGGCGGGTTGATCTCTGTGAGACTGAGGCCAGCCTGGTCTCCATAGTTTCAGGCCAGCTGTGACTACAGAGAGACCCTGTCTCAAAAACACAAGGAATGGGGGAAGGAGGGAGAGAGGAGCAAGGGAGGGAGGGAAGTCAGTCTTCATGATAATTTTCATTTGTTACTGTCATTCATCATTCCATTTGTAAATCTTCATGATTAATACATGGAATCATAGGTAAGATATCTATTACTGCACTTCCCCCTCACTTGTATTACTTATATTGTGTGAAGTCAATATAAATGGTATAGTTACTCTTGAAAATAATTTGGCAGTTTCCATAAAAGAAAAGACGATTTAGTACCCCAAAGAAATGAAAGCCTACATTTATCTTACAACTTGAACATGAATATTCTCAGCTGCTTTATTTCTAAATCCAGGACTCAAAATGATTGTCAATGCAGGAGTGCTTAAACCCCAGTATAACATCATCCAACAGAATACCATTCAGAAAAAAGAGTAGAAACTACTTAATATATGCAATTACTTGGCTAGTTCTCTAGAGAATCATGTGGAGCAAAACAGGACTATCACAAAAGGCCACACACTGAAGGATCCCCCTTATCCAACATCCTTGAAATGCAAAACTACAGGAATTAGTGAGTGCTGGGGACAAAATAAACTGAGGTAACTAAAGGGAAGCTTAATCCACCTTGTAAAAGATTTGTTATTTGGGGGCTGGAGAGATGGCTCAGCAGTTAAGAGCACTGACTGCTCTTGCAGAGGACCCAGGTTTGATTCCCAGCACCCACATGGCAGCTATGAACTGTCCTTAACTCCAGTTCCAGGGGAATCCAAAGCCCTCTTCTGACCTCCGTGGAATTGTACAACATGGGTGCACTCACATACATGCAGGCAATACACTCATACACATAAAATAAAAATAAATAAGTAAAATATTTTTTGAAAAAGAATTGTTATTTTGGCCGCTACTGGTAATATGTATCAATAGATGCTATTCAGTTACACAGAACTAAATCTACAGAAATTAAGTGCACGTAAAACTAGTAAAATACGAATAAGGTTACCGTAGCAGCAAGGTGGCTGCATTAAGTACTGGCAGTGATCTCATACTGCAGTTACACACAGTATCTTTTATTGATAAAAGCATCTGAGACCACAAGCATTTTGGAGAATAAACTGTTTTTGATTTTTTTTTTCAGATTTTAGAGTATGCACACACAACAGCACATGATGCTACTAATTTATGATACACATACACTTTATATATATAGACTAAAGTAACCGAACATAATGATCTTAATGCATCTGCATTTTGACTCATCACAAGGTCAGATATGGAATTTTCCAATTCTAGCAAGATGGTTTTTTTTAAAAGTTTAGGATTTTGGAGCAGTTTGAATTTTCAGATTAGGCATGTTTAATCTATACAAAACGTTGCCACCAAAGGAAATTGAGTGAAAGTTATAGGCAATCTGTGCTGGACTTACTTCTTCCAATTTCCTATATGTAATTATTTGAGCCAGCTTACTTAACAGTACTTCAACCCCAAATGAAATCAAAAACATTTCTCCACAAGTTTACTTATGAAACCCCTACTATTCAAATTGGTAATTCTGAATGAACAACTAAGGCATCACATAAGAACTGGTAGAAATGGAGATCTCAGGCTCCTTCTCAAGTTCAGAGTCACATGCTATGTTCTAACAAGATCCCTACATAATTCTTAGATAACAAAGTTTAGAAACAAAGACTTGCACATTAGAACCTTTTAGAGGACCTTTAAAAAGGCTTTTTTTGGCATTTTTGAGACAGAGTCTCCTTGTAACCCCAGCTGGCCTGGAACTTGCTATGTAGACCAGGCTAGCCTCTAACTCACAGAGATCCGCCTGCCTCTGTCTTCCAAGTGCTGAGATTAAAGGCGAACACCACCTCACCCAACCTAAGCAGGGCATGGTGGTCTATACTTAATTTCAGCACTAGCAGACCTCTGTGAGTTTGATGCAAGCCTAGTCTACACGGTGAGTGCAAGATCCAGTCAGGAAGATATACACTAGGGGTCAGAGAGATGGCTCAGTCCCCAGCAGTCACATGACAGCTAGCCACCATCTGTAACACCAGTTCCAGGGGATGTGATGCCCTCTTCTGGCCTCCTCAGGCACTGCACACACAGGTGTACTTGCATGCAGAGAAAACATTCATACACAAAATTTTTAAAAATATTTTATTATTTTTATTTTATGTGTATGTGTGCATTGACTGCATGTAGGTAAGTGCACCCATGTTGTGCAATGCCCAGGAGGACAGAAGGGGCTTTCAGATCCCCTGGAACTGGAGTTATATACAGTTGTTAGCTGCCATGTGGGTGCTGGGATTCGAACCCAGGTCTTCTTCAAGAACCAGTGTTCTTAACTGCTGAGCCATCTCTCCAGTCCCCACATAAATTTTTTTAATGGAAAAAAAAATTTTTAAGGATTTACACTGATGGAAATTTTCAATCACTAACATTTATATTTTACAGCTTGATTTAAATGGGTGGGAAACAATATTTTGCCCTTCATTTTATATAAATACAAAGCTGTGGCTTAGAGATGGCTCAGTGGGTAAAAGCACTGGTTGCTCTTGCAGAGGACCCAGGTTTGGGTCCTAGCACCCACATGACAGCTAACAACTGTCTATAACTCCAGTTCCAGGGGATTAGATGCTCCCTTTTGAACTCTGGGCATTGCATGACACAAGTACATTAACATATATGCAAGCAATACACTCATACACACAAAATAAAAATAGATAAAATATTTTTAAAAATATAAAGCTGCTTTCTAAGCGCACAACTTGAAATGACAAGTGAGAAATTTCATTAAAGGCCATACATAGTAACAGATTTATAATACCATTAAAAATCTGTCATATTGACAACTGTTTTGAAGAGACAGATACTCACTGGCAATGTAAATTTGCAAAAATGTCTGCTGAAATGCTACTGTTATCAGAATTTTGTTTTTGTTGCTCTGACACAATAGTCTAATGGAGCCCAGGTAAGCTAGCTGAGGCCAGGCATGACCTTAATTCTGATCCCGCGGCTTCTGACCAAAGAGTGGGAGGGACTATACTGCAGGCCTGTGTACTTCCACCACCCACAAGGGGTGCTTTGTTAGGCCAGTGCTCCACCCACTGAGCTCCATCCACAGCACCTGGATTACTTCTTAACAGTCCTTCAAAGCAACTTAAACTCAAGTATCTGAAGTAAAGGAGAAGGGCATCAATACACACAGTACACATAGCTGATAAAGCAAAAAATATATACTTACTTTCTGAATGAATTTCTCAACACTTTGTACCACATGTTTATAAAACTGTAAGAAGAAAAGAAAGCATGATTTCAAAATCAGTTTGAATATATTAGAATTTTCTGCTAATCACAGGCTTGAGCAGAGCTCCAGAAGTCCATCAAAACAGTAATTTTTGCCAGGCATGGTGGCACATGCTTTAAGACCCAGAACTTATAGCCAGATGGATCTCTGTGAGTTCAAGGCCAGCCTGGTCTACATAGTGAGCCCCAAGCCAGCTGGGGCTACAGGGAGACCCTGTCTCAAAAAGACAAAAAAATAAAATAATAATAAAAATAAAATAAGTTTTAGTCAAAACTTGCATGGCATTCACATCATTTACCTTCATAAGCAATGCAGTCATTATTTAATTCATTAAGTAATCCTTTGAAGTACATACATATGATGAATGTCTAATGTGTGCTAAGACAACTCAAATTTAAAAGCATTCTAACTGAACATGGTAGTACACACCTATTTTTCCTGCATAAGGAGGTTGAGGCAGCAGGATCACAAGCTGAAACCAGTCTCAGCTGCACAGTGAGACTTTGCCTCAAAAGCAAACAAATTCTATCAGTATCTTTAAGAAAGCACACTTTGACACACTGTATTGACAGCAAAATACTTAGGCTCTACACACTAGTAGATAAACGGTTTTTCAAGGGAGAAAAAGTACAGATGTCTTACAGTATCATTTTAACACCTAAATCAAGGGCAATTATTAGAAAAGCAAATAACTACTAACAGCAGTTTTTATAAATGAATGTACAAGAGCTGTTTTCAACTTCATTTAGCTCCTGGAAGATGAACTATATGTATATTAAGACATAGAAATGTCTGTGTGCTAATGGATCATACTAAATGAATTAATAAAAGGCAGGTGAGGGCTTGAATTGGTCTACTACCAATTATGATAACACTCAGAAGATTTATCTTAAGTACAGCACTCAAAATAAACCTGAAAATAAAATGGAAACTATGAACAAAAATTTAATACACTGGGACCGGAGAGATGGCTTAGTGGTAAGGGCACTGGCTGCTCTTGCAGAGGACCTGGGTTTAGTTCCCAGCACCCACAAGGCAGCTAACAACCATCCATAAACAGTTCCAGGGGCTCCAAAGCCCTCTTCTGACCTCCAAGAGCACTGCATGACATGCATGCACTTAATATGCATGCAAGCAAGACATTCATACACATAATTTTTTTTTAATGTCAAAGTCATTGGAACATTGCTGTTTTGAAGAACGTGAATTATACTTTCAGCCTCATGACTTCTGCTTTACAAAAGATAAACCTCCCTGAGACTACAGAAACGTAAGAACTAAAGTCAATGCCAGTGAGCCAGGCGTGGTGGCACATCCTTTTATCCCAGCACTCAGGAGGCTAAGGCACATGGATCTCTATGAGATCAAGGCCAGCCTGGTCCACATAATGAGTTCCAGGCCAGCTGTAGCTACAGAGACCTTGTCTCGGGAAAAAAAAAAAAAAAGGCAAATGGCATTGAAATGTGTGAATTGACTTTAGTACAATAGTATTTTATCCAAATAAAATGTCTTAAATGTGTTGTTTAGGAAAACGTCTTTGTTATTAGATTACACACAGGTATACAGGGATTAAGTGTTACTATGATCTTAGCCAAAAGGCTGAGAAATGATGTGTGGAGGTAAATCTAAGGGGCAAGCGCGTGGCACTCATCACAGGATGCTGCAACTTGTTTGAACGTTTTTTCAAAATTAAAAACATTAAAGACAGTAATAATATATCAAAATAATACAGTATATTGTAAAAAGTGAGTTATTCCTCATTGGCAGAAACCTATCAAACTCTAGTGACTTATTTAATGTCTCCTTTCAGACATCTAAAATAATGCTAGCACTGTTAAGTCTTTAATTATGAACTGTACCAATCATTAATATCAATGATATCAATATATACTTTTTTATATTCTTAGGCCATGATAAAAAAATCAAGTAATAACAGATAACATAAAGTATATAACAGACTAAGCTTATTCTGTATTATACCCAACAGATTCTCTTTAAAAAAAGGATCATTTCTTTGAAGAATTGTCTGGCTTAAATAAAAACAAAAGCTGGCAAGATGGCGCAGCATGTAAAGATGTTTGTCAGCAAGCCTAATGACCAGGTTCAATCCCTGGGACCCGCAACTCCCACAAGTTCTCTGATCTCCAAATATATGTATATGTGTGTGTGTGTCTCTCTCTCTCTTTCTCTCTCACACACACACACTCACTCACTTTTAAACAACTGAATAAATGAACCGTCTGAATTTCTTCCACTAGTAATTACTAGTAAATAGAAATTTATTATATTTAACATATTGCTATTCAAAATAATTTAAATATCTGGTGTTTCTAATTCTGGCTAATACTTTAATCACTAAATGTTCTCTTCCTAAATTCCACCAACTTACACAAAGAGGCCCAAGTAGTTTTCATAATGGTTCATATACATAGACTCAATAAAAAGTAAAATTTCAATATACTTTCATTTCTAAGCCTTGTATCAACTTATATTTACGATCCTACAAAGTCAGTATGTCAAATGATGTGGATGCAACCAAACTCCCAGCTACCTGAGAAAGGTAAGGGAAAATGTCTACTCCAAATTTATCAAGGATTTTTCAAATTTCAAATTATGTCTGGGGGTGGGTGGAAGAGTATTTGCAGGTGTGCCTGCATACACAGAGACATCCTCTGCCCTCTGCAGCTGCTGGGAATAGAACCCAGGTCCTTTGCAAGAGCAGTGCACTCCCAACCACTGAGTCATCTTTCCAGCCCAAAAGATTATTTCCGAATGTGTTTTCACTTAAATGTGGGAGTCTGAAGGTTACATATTTCTTTCTTTTCCATGCTGAACATGTATTAATACCATAAAGCAGATATAAATACATAAAAATCTATAAAAATTATTCCTTTAAAACATTAATTAAGGAGAAGCTAAGCACGTGGAGGCTGAGGCAGGCAGACCTGTGAGTTCCAGGCCAGCCTGGTCTACACAGAGTTCCAGGCCAGTTGGGGCTGCATAAAGAGACCCTGTCTCAAAAAAATTAATAAAATAATAAAAAAAAAAGGAGGTAATGGATGAGATGGCACAATCACTGAGGTGTTAGTTTGAAGTGTTTGTTTGCATGCGGACCTGAGTTCATATCCTCAGCACCCACAGAAAAAGCTAGACCTAATAAAAGGGTCTGTAATTCCAGCACTGGGGAGGTAAAGACAGAAGGCTCTCTAAGTCTTGTTAAGGGAAATAATTACAAAGAATCCAAATCTTTCCTATCAAAAGAAAAACAGGATCAAAAGAATAAAAGCATCATAAATAAAACATTTGTGATGCTATTCTGTAATCTCCTACCTTGTAACACTTTTGTTTACCCACTGCTGATTGTTTTAAAACCAGACAACAGGGGCTGGAGAGATGACTCAGCACTTAAGAACACTAGTGGTTCTTGCAGAAGACCCAAGTTCGAATTCCAGCACCCACATGGCAGCTAACAACTCTCCCTAACTCCAGTTCCAGGAGATCCGAGAGCCTCTTTTGACCTCCACGGGTATTGCACGACACGGGTGTACTTTACATGCTGGCAATACACACATACACATAAAAATAATAAAAGTTTAAGAAAAAAAAGAAAAAACAACCACCAGACAACCAATAAAGACTCTGAAGTCAGATCCTAGCCAATGGAGAAAGACAAAGTACTCTTGAGTTGGGATAAAAACCTTTCAAATTTCCCCGCTCAGTGTGTTTGCTTGCTATTCAAATGAGGCAGCACACCCTTCTGCAAAAGTAAAAGCTGCTTTGTCCAGTTACTTTCCCTTTGTCCACAAAGAATCAGTGGGTCACTGGACCTCAGAGTTTATTTCTAACATTGCTAGCCAGCCAATGTGAGCTACAGGTTCAGTAAGAAAGTGTTTTAGCTTCTTTTCCCATTGCTGGAACAAAATGACCTGACAAAAGCAACTCGAAAGAGAAAAGGTTTGGTCTGGTTCACAGTCGACCATGGCAGGATGTCACAGTGGCAAGAGTTTAAGATACCTGGTCGCAATGGATCCGCAGTCAAGTAGAGAAGGCCAGGGACATGGCTCAGTGGGTAAAAGCACTTCCTGCACACCCCAGAGGACATAAGTTCAATCCCCTGACTCCACGGTGGAAGGAGAGAAAGTTGTCTAGTGCAGCACTGCACTCAGACATGACACACACACGATGACTATTCTTAGCAGAGAACACAGCCAGGGATGCTGCTGCCAGAGTGAGCAAGCAGGCCTTCCTCCTCAACCAGGTGTAATAAAAAAGATGATCCCCACAAACAACCAATTCCAGAAGCCAGCGTAACTCCATATTGTGTCAAACTGACAACACTATCATAGAGACCCTGTCTCAAAAAATATGGTGGAGAACAATTAAGGAAGATACTTATGTGGCCTCTACATGTGTGGCCTCTACATGTGTGGCCTCTACATGTGTACCCTCACACATGTACATTCACGAACTCACATACAAACATCACATATACATAATCACAAAAATATTTCCTTTTAAAAGACACAAAAGTAAGTTTATAACTCACCTTAATAGCTTTGATGGCTGCCTTTGTAATCTGCGTCATTTTCGCTTTAGAAATGGGTGGTTTATAGTCATTCAGCGAATATAGCTGATGGAAAAAGAAGAGCATATTTTCAATACATCACAACCATCTCCAGATAATTATATGAAACTACTAGCATTTACAGCTTTAATATTCTCAATGAAATCAAAGTGTAGCTTTCCTTTAAAAAAAAAGGAAGCCACCACCAACCACTTGGGAAATGAAATGCACCAAAATAACAATGACTTTATCATGTTACCCTTTCTTGCTCATAACCAAAAAGATAACAAGAGCAGGGATGTGAAAACCTCAGACTCCTTATATATTACTGGTAAATGTAAAATGGTGAAGCAGCTTTTACAAAACAGCTTGGGGGGTTGGCCAGGTGGCTAAGAGAGTAAAGGTGATTGTTGCCAAACTGGACAACCTGAGTTTAATCCCGGAAACCTGTATGGTGGAAGGTGAGAATTGACTCCCTCTAGCAAACTGTCCTACGACGTCCACATGCACCCCGTGACACACACACACACACACTCCATGTACACACTAAATAAATAGAAAAAATAAGTGAAACAGCTTTGCAGCTTCTCAAAGAAGAGATTAAAAATTGTTACCAGGTGACCTATACAACAACTAAGTGAGCTAAAAATAAAGATTCACATAAACACTTGCAACTGATTAGTTACTGCAGCATTATTCACATAAAATACATTAAAGACTCATTGAAAAAGTAACAAGAACCCAAGTGAGGTGAACTGATAAATGAATAAATTAACAAGTATGTATTCAATGAACTGTTAATCATAAAAAGGAACTGGGATCTCACACATGTAATATGAATGAATCATGGGAACTTTTGGTGGGAAGAAAGGTGAGGGAATGGCTCCAATTAAGTTACCCGTGCTTGTCTCATGGGTAATCCTCCTGCCTCAGCTTCTTTAAGTATCCAGAATTACAGGCATGTGTCACCACTGTGCCTGACCCTGGAAAACACTAGCTAAATTAAAAAAGAAAAATGAACAGGGTGTGGTGGCGCACGCCTGTAGTCCCAGCACTGGGGAGGTAGAGGTAGGCGGATCTCTGTGAGTTCTAGGCCAGCCTGGTCTACAGAGTGAGTTGCATGCCAGTTACAGAAGACCCTGATTCAAAAAGAACCCCGCCCCCCCCCAAAATTAAGAGTGGGATGGGGATGAAGCTCGGTGGTTTGAGCACCTGATTAGCATGCTTGAGGCCCTAGGCTCAATCTTAGGTACAGGAAAAAAGAAGAATGATTACTAATGATTAACATTTTTTTTTCCTCTTTTTGAGACAGGGTCTCCCTCTAGCCCCATCTGGACTAGAACTCTCTATGTAGACCAGGCTGCCCTTAAACTCAGAGATCCACCTACCTCTGTGGGGATTAAAAGTATGGAGCCACCATGCACGGCTTAACATTTCTTTTTTAAAAGTGAATATTCTAAAGTTAATTGTAGATGGCTGCATAATACGGTGAATATGCTAAATTTTATCTCAATAAGCCTTTTTAAAGCAGGGTATGGTGGCGCACGCCTTTAACTGCAGCGCTCTCGAGGCAAAGGGAGATGGATCTCTGTGAGTTCAAGGCCCCCTAGGTCTACACAGCAAGTTCCAAGCTAGCCAGAGTTACATGGTGTCTCCAAAAAGAAAAGAAATAGTAATAAATAAACCTTTTTTTTTTTTTTCGGTCTTTTTGAGACAGTGTCTCCCTGTAGCTCCAGATGTCCTGGTACTCACAACGTAGACCAAGCTGGCCTCGAACTCACAGAGATCCACCTGCCTCTGCCTCCCTAGTGCTGAGACGAAAGGGCTTAAATAAAGCTTTTTAATGTTTCAAAACCAAGCTATCCTTCAATCTTTGTTCTGAAATTCCTCATAGAAGCAAAGATAATAATGCCCAGAAAACAGTTAAAGTCATAGAAAAACTGGACAACAGACAACTAATCTTTTTTTAAAATATTTTATTTATTATTTTTATTTAATGTGTATGAGTGTGATGCCTGCATGTATATGAGTACACCTGTGTCATGTAATGCCTCGGAGGTCAGGAGAGGGCTTTGGATTCCCCTGGAACTGGAGTTAAGGACAGTTCATAGCCACCATGTGGGTGCTGGGAATTGAACCCGGGTCCTCTACAAGAGCAGTCAGTGCTTTTAACCACTGAGCCATCTCTCCAGCCCCAGATAACTAATCTTAAATGAAACCTGATTAAAAATTGCATTGTATTCAGTGGCATTATGGTATAAGGCAGCATTAAAAGCCTGGACTTTAGCTTTGGGCATTAGAACACTGCAGAAACTATTTGAACAGACAGCATTCTATTCATTTTCACCCCTCACCTCTGGCACCTGCCCCCTCTTCCTACTCAAATCACCAGTTCAGTGACTACAGTATCATTCCTCACCAAGGAGACACCTAAATGAATGACATGTTCTCCCAGCACATTTACAGCTATCTTTTCAAGCACTAATCTAATCAGGTGACTAGCACTCAAAACCACTTCTGCCACTCTTTATAATTAATAATCAAGAATTTCTCCTTGGACAAACACACAAAAAAACATATATGTAAGGTTCTGCCTGGTCTAACTATTGTCACCAGATCAGCTTCCTCTCATGTCATGCTTATGGCCCTTTACTCACTGCATAAAGGTCTTTTCTCAGTTCCCTGCCACACTGTGCTCTCTCCTTCTAGCAAATCACCTGTTCTTTGGTTGAGGGTGGTTTGGGGGTTTTTTGTTGTTGCTTCTGGTGGTAGTACTGGGGGAAGGCCTTGTATATGGCTAGGTAAGTGCTCTACCACTGCACTATAATCCCCAGCAGTTTAGATTCATTTGGTTTTTTTTTTTTTTTCTCTTTTCTTCAAGTTTTGTCCTCAATGAATTAAAACAGGTCAGGTATGGTGGCTTATTCATGCAATCATGAATCTCAGGAGGCTGAGAAAGGAGGATCACCATGAGGGCCCTGAGGCAACCCTGGACTACACAGTGAATTTCAGTCTAGCCTGGGCTACAGAGTGAATCCCTGTCTCAAAACAAAACAAAAAAAGATTTAAAAATCACACACGCACACCAGATGAGAGAGAGAGAGAGAGAGAGAGAGAGAGAGAGAGAGAGAGAGAGAGAATACCCGGAGAGATGGCTCAGCAGTTAAAGACTGTGTACTACTCTTGCAGAGGACCAAATTTGGTTTCCAGCACCCATGCCTGGCAATTTACAACTGCATACATGCATACATTCCAGCTTCAGGGGATTCAATGCCCTCTTCTGACCTCCACAGGCACCAACATTCCTATGTGCACATACACCCATAATCACATGCACAATTAAAAATAAAATCTTTAAAACTATAAAAAATAAGGCTGGTGTGATGGCACAGGCTTGCAATACCAGGAGGCAGAGGCAGACAGAGGAGGACTGAGTCCAGCCTGGTCTACATAGCAACTTTTAGGCCAGTGGGGGCTACAGGAAAATTCTGTCAAATAATAATAACAATAAATGTAAATAAAAGGCACAGCAATGTGTCAGACTTTCAAAATAAGGAACCAAATTTGAATTCCAGCTATGTCAACCATATTAAAAGTTACCAAACCTATGAACCTAGTTTTCTATTTGCAAAGTAGAAATGAAACTTCACAAAAACAATGAACATAAAGCTTTCGAGTACATTTAAGTTGCTTGTTAATTAGCCATTATTAAAATCTTTTTCTTTAGTAGACATTCTCTATCTGAAAGTATGTTCTAGTTATCTTACTAGGGTAATGAGACAGCAGGTTGTTGTATAATTAATAAAACATTACTTCTTTTATTTTGTATGAGAAAGCCTAAAACTTATACCAGTCCATATTCTAGGGATGGTCTTGCTTGCCTTTCTTTAATGAAGAGCAACGGCAGAATGTAATTTAGGCTTTAAAAGCATTTTTAACAGCCTTAAAAGGCAGCACTCATCGAGATTCTCCAAAGAATTGCACATATTGCAAACACTGAAGGCACTACTCAGAAAATGAGTTAATATAGTGTGTTTCAAAGGCTCATTCAATATATACTTCCAACAAATTACTTCTCTAAATCATCTAATTTTTATTAAATCTGACCATCAGAAAACTTACACAAATGTTCATTTTTCATTTCATTTTCATCTTCCATCTTCATCAACTGACTTTACTGTAATATGTTATCCCCAACATTTAAAGGTTAACCAACATTTCCCCTAAAACAATGTCTTACTGATCTATTAAAGAAGTAATTATCTTTACTCAAAATGCCCCTCTTTCAATAATCCATTACAGAATATTCTTCTAAATTCTGAAATACAGGAGTAGTTCAGAGTGGGCCCTGGAGTGCTTGCTTGCTTTCTGTCAAAGATGGATACCCTTGTGTTCTAGTCTCAACACACATTATCCAATGTCTATTGGCGTCTAATTTCCATGACAGTTAACTAGTTTCTGATGTATAAAAATAAAATTATCTCTGAAGTTCTGAACCCACTGGTATACAAACTTAACATTTATTAAACTAATGTGAATCTAGAGCATGACTTGCTATCTTTTCCTCCAAATATGTTCTACATAACCTACTTGGTTCTAAGCATCAACCTCAGTCCTCTAGGGACTGATCACAAAAATATTCAATACATTAAGAATATTGATAGAATACTACCAACCAATTAAGACTTTTAATAGGTGTCTCGAAATAATTCACCATATATGAAGAGACTGCATTTAATGTATCTTTAGTTCTGCAAGCTGTAACCCAATCAATCAATGCCTGATATACAGCAAACTTTTAGCAATAAATGTTTATTGTCTAACTGATGACCTAGTAGTGCTGAAACTACTTATTACTACAACTTCCAAACTTCAATGCTGGCACTAATCAGCTATGTCAACCAACCATCACATACTGGGAACAGAATTATCTCCATATTCTTAAAACCTGAATCAATCCAAAAATACATCATGATTTTACACTGAAAAATGCTAGAGAAAATGGAAGTTGATCCTGGGACCTTCCTTTCCTTTGTCTGCCACTTCTACACCCAGCCCAGGTCACA